ATGTGTAAAAAAAAAAAAAAAAAAAAATGCGTACGCGTATGCGTTTTTTTGGACACGTACCCGTACGCGCGCATACGTATGCGTACGCACTGCATACGCGTACGTGGTGCTTCCCAGAAAAAATATTTTTCTTTTTCCAAATTTTCGAACATACATAGGAGAAAGCATTCTTTCTCGGCATTTCATCTTCGAAATTCGAATGTCGTTTTAATTAATTCTTTTTTGAAATTCTTGTAATTCAAAAATATTTTAGAATAATTCTTTTTGTTCGAATTAATTATTTTTTTTTCGAAATTTTTGAAAATACGTTAGAATCTAGGCTACTAGAGTGGCCCGGGGTCACTTGCCCGACCGGGCCAAAAAAATAAAAATAAAAAGATGATTTCTAGTTTTTAATTTTTATTTTCATATTGGTGAAGAATTTTGATGTGACCCTGAGGCAAACGTTGTTCAGTTTATTTTTCTGCATAACATCGTTTTTTTTTCGAATTTTTTGGATTTTTTTTTTTTTTTTGCTGGGACCTCCTTGCACGGGCTAGCCACCCGGGATCCGGGCGGCCCGGCTGGTAGCCTAGGTTAGAATTCATTAAATTCTTTTTCGATATTTCTTTTGGAAATTTAAAAATAATTCTAATTAATTATTTTTCTCACGACTAAATTAATCACTTTTACTCGGAATTAATCACCCTTTTTCGAAATTATTCAATTTTACCCCGAACGCAAATCCGAATAAATTTCGTCAGAATTTACTTTTCTCGGAATAATATTTTTTTTTTTCTTCATTTGAAAATTCTTGAAAATTTTTCTTTCTTATTTTCTTAAAAAATACACTCTTGAATTAATTTCGAATAAATTTAAATTTATTCAAAATTAATTCTTGCTTTGCGATTCTCTACTACCTTCATTTCTAAATCACTTGACGACGCTCTATTCTTGTAAATAGGAAATGTTCCCCGCATCTCCACATGCCACCACGCCAAACCAAGACCTCCCAGCGCGTCGTCGCCGCCGCCGCCACCACTGCCGCTATCACATCCGCCGCTACCGCCTCCACTTCCGCTTCGACCACGTTAACCACCCCCTTTTCCCCCACCATGGCCCAATCTTTCATCAACATGTCCGATCTTCGTTTCGACTTTGTCAACAGCATTGTCTGCGAACTCGCAGGCGATCAGCCAACTTCGACCACCACCACCCYGGAACTCGCAACTATCCTCCAAATGTTGACTGCCCTCAAATCCTCCCTCGCCACCATCAACACCACCATGGCCGCCATCTCCGATCGTCACCACGCTCGAGGGAAACTCCCCCGCCTTCACGGTCGTCACCACAACCACACCCCCCTCCTCCACACCCCACCCCACCGCCTCCTCCGGACAAGCCTCCGCTTCAACCTCCACACCAACACCGTCCACCTGTACACCCCCACCCTCATCCACCACTACCTCCACCATGGTCGCTCCACCTCCCCCCTCGCCCAAGACGACAACCCCTGCCGTCACACAGTCATCAACCATCCCCCCCCAATCAAAACCGCTCTTATCCACCTCCATTATTACCTCAACCATCCCCAACTATACCCAGATCGTTCCACAAGCCGTGTATCTCGCTCCTCCACTACTTCCCCCAAATGCTCTCATCCCCACCAACGCCGTCAGTGATTTCACCCTGTTCGACTCTCCCTCTCCCACCCTTGATTTCAACACCCTTGCCACCATTAACCCCAGAGAAGGCAAAATCCCCCCATCATTCTGTGTCAACAAAATCCCCACCTTCTCAGGCCAACCCCATGAGGATGTCCTCCTCTTTCTCACCAAACTTCAACAAGCCTTCTCCCTTCAGGGCATTCCCGTCATCCACTGGCTCCCCATCGCTGGCGGCCGACTTCTAGACGACGTTGCTCGCTGGTGGTACACCAAAATGTCTAATCGCCATCACGCCGGTCTCCAGCCTCACACCTTCCTTGAGTGGGCCACCCTCATCACCTCCACCTTCTGCCCACAGAAAACGGTCGACGACTATATGGGCCAATTTTGTCGGCTCCAACAAACCGGACCAACCGACCGTTTTGTGCAATACGTCCGCTCGCTTCGTCAAGATATACCCTTTGATGTCGTCAACAATTTCGCTTTCATCTCCCGCGTTAAGCGCGTTCGCCGCAAAGACCTAGCGGCCGCCCTTGTCCACAAGGCCCCCGTGACCCTCGCCGACCTCCTTTGGCACTTTCGGATTTCGACACTTGGCGCCATCCGACATTCTGGCGCCCAGACTCGGACTTTCGATTCTCAGTTCAGTCCTGAGGCAATGGCACTTCTGCCCTCCGGACTGAACTTGAGTCCGGTACGTAAAACCAGACTCAAGCCCAGCACGGGCATGCAGTTTTCGGCCTCACTGCTGGTGCTTCAGTGTGACTTGCTTTGACATTGTGTTCAGGAATCGAAGACTGCGACTTTGTGACTTGGCCACTTCGTGTATGCGTTCGTCGAGTCTTGTTGAGTCTGCCTCGAGTTGAGTGAGTGTGTGTGTGTGCTCTCACCCTCTCCTCTCTCTCCCTCGGCATCGCTATTCTGCCTTTGTCTTTGCCTCGTCACAGTAGTAGTCGAGTGGGGGACAAACAACCATCTTTACTCTGTGTTGCCTATGAGTTGTGTCCGCTCCCAGTGATGTTCCGTATGTTGTTAGAGTGGGAACCCATCACAATAACCTTTGACTTATATAAATGTAAGGGCAATGTTCACCAACTCTCCAAACAAGTATAAAAATATCAATAAGGTTCGGCGGTCCTCATCTTAAAATACAAACGGGGAAACAATAACATAAATTTGTGGTTAAAGTATAATCAGGTACTAATTACTGTTACCACTCTATGCACAGTTGAAGAGCAAAGACAATTGACCGCACCCTCATGCAAAGCACAAACTGGGGCCGCTTCTAACAACACTCAATACTCCTTATTAGGCAGTGATTAGTCAAATCAGTGTGAAAAACAATTTACATAATCGACGAACACAAAAACTGATTTGTGACGTCTTAATGGCATATTCGGCTTACTATTCATGACATTTTCACCAGGGTTGTCACCCGGGGACCCCCGGGGGCAAAGCCGGGGCCGAGATTTCACCCCCGGACCCCCTCCAGCGGGGGCGATGACCCCCGGTCCCCGCTAAAGACCCCCGCACCCGCCCGACCCCCGGCACCCCCGCGGGACCCCGGCCCCAGCACCCAGCACCCCGGCCCCGGCCCCGGGACCCCC